GTTGACTACTACTTCTATATGCTGCTGGTGAATCTTATATGTGTTGTTCATGTCCTAAGTATTAACGTTCATTACCAACCTTCGTTTGATTATTCTATTCAGTAACCTTCCCTAGGTTACAACACTTGACAAATAGATGACATGCTTAATTAACAAATTCCTATATCCGCTATGTCACTGTCTCAAAGGACATCATTAATGCTATGTTTTTTTTTGTTTTGTTTTTTTAATAATATAAAGTAGGCAGTGAAATAATACTTTCTGGTTTAGCAGGAACTAACAAGAAATTACATTCTTCTTCTTTATATGCTGTATATCTTCAGGACGTAAGCAATCATGGCTCTCCACAATTTCCTGTTCTTTGTAGCTCTTAATAAACTTTGTCTTTTTGTTATTTCTCCTAAACCTTATTCCACCATCCATTTACTGAACCTCACTAAGTATGTTTTATAAGGACAAAATAACATGATCAACAGCTTTCTCTTATCAGCTCAAAATAAAGGACATCTGAAGATGGCCAGAGGGTACATGGCCAAAACATCAGTAATAACCCCTCTAATAAAGATAAGAGCAGTATTTACATGATTTACATTTGGACTTTTGCCGTCATCTTTGTTGTTATTACCAAAACGTAACCATCAGGGAATTTCAATCTGGACCATTTATGTAATTTACTGTAGTAGATTGTTCTTGTTCTACTGCCCATGTCTAGGGATATCTCATCTAATTCTTATTTAGTACTACTCAGGTATTGCTTGTCCTGTTTCCACTGAGTCTAAATCTGCACTACTGTGTTACTAAATTCACTGACCAACACATTAATAAACTAGGCTATTGTTATATGGGACAATCCTGAGTGTAGAACTTGGTTACTTAAACCTAATCTGCTTGCTGCTGCTGTTACACTTGACTGAATTCACCAAGGCTTTTCTTTTCTACTGCTGTTGCTTCTGTTGAAGCTTTCATTTCTTTCTTTATTTGTTAATAGTTTTCATATTGTATTTATTTTTATGCTAAGCCTAGTAAGGAGTTCGTCATAACCTAGCACATATGCTGATTCTTTAATGTAATTAATGATAACTCCTCATCACAGAAATTCAGTTAGAAATTATGAGAACAGTAGTTTGGATAAATAGAATAAGTCAGTGTATAGCCTTTATGCTAAACAGAAGTGACTTTCCTGGCATATAGGGACATGAAAAGAGGAAAGTTTCAATTAGCTGTAAGCTTTTCATGTTATAACATGAGGAAAAATAGTGTGAATATATTTCCAGTAAAGCTAACATCATTGCTATGCACAGTTTGTGTCGTGTATATATATATATATATATTGTTTATAAAGTCCACTATATGTTTATTTTTCTTTTCTCTCACTTTCTACCACATTTCTACTCTTTCTTTTTTTTCTTCTTGTCTACTCCATTCTCTTTCTTTAACTATCCAACACTCTTGTTACTCTTTACCAAATTGCTTTACCTTTCACCCCTCCAGATATTTTATTTTTCCCTCCCTCCTCCTCCTCCTCACATTAGCCTTGCTTCATTATAAAACACTCTTTCTCTGTGCTCTCTCCCCTCCCACTCATAATCTTTTTTTATTTTCCCTTGTGCCCTTCCCAACTAATTTCTTTTTTTCTCTCAATGAATCTTTCTCTCCCTTTGTTCTTTCCAGTCTCTGTCTATCCTACATTCAAATTTCTTTTTTTGAATTAGATTATTACAATGATTTTATTTGTTTTTATTTTTGCTTTTTTCCATTTATTGATTGGCCTATTTTCTAACTTTCTTCAAATGAATTTTGTGAGGCACCTTGATTGTTTTTAATCACTAACATTCCACTTTGGCATATATTGCTCATAGACATAAATGATTTCTATTATAGGGAGTTCATTTCTCATTTAGTTCCACACTATGTGCAGTAAAGAAAACATACTCCACCATGGAGTCGTGGCTTGAAACTTAGTTATACAGATTGTATTAAGTTCAATCCTTGCTCAGTTCTTCATACTGGGACACTTGGGCTATTATGATAAGCTTAATAAATTTTTCTGCCTCTACCCTTAGTAATTGTTACATCTACACACACATTTTATGCATTAATATAACAATTACTATGGGACAAATATAGTATCTATCATTGTTATGAATTTAAAATGATTCAAGAACAGCAGGAAGATGAGACAGCAATAACCTTAAGAAAGGCTTTATTCAATAAAAGAAAGAACACTATCAGTGTCTCTCCATATAAATCCTCTTCCTAAAATCCAGCAGAATATTTAAAAAAAAAAAAAAAAAAAATGAATTTCCTTTGCATATAGCAATTTACATACAAAGCACAAAGGAAGAGTTCATTTCATAACGCTCTACCTTCCTGCAAGGAGGAGAAGCAAGTTTTTATTCGCATAACAAAATCCTCATACTCTGTTGGTGCCTTTCATATTCTTGAAGAGTTCTGTAGAACATTACCATCTTTGGGACAAGCCTGAAATTGATTAGAGGCTGGTATAACATCATGAGAGACTGACCCTGAATTATCATGCTGAGGCATCGTTCTTATCCTTTGGTTGCTTTCTGTTGTTAAACATGAATGCGACGGAATGTTGATCAGTTATTAGAGTAAAGTGGGTTTGCAACAGTAAGTGTCTCCACTTTCTAATAGCTTCAATGATAGCTGTAGCTTTTTTTCCACCAAAGGGTAGTTTAATTCATTTTTATTTAGGCTGCATGACAGGGCAGCCATTTTGATTAAGAGTTGCAGACACAGCAACATCAGAGGCATCACATTCTACCAAAAAAAGGAATACTTTCATCAATAGAGCTAAGCGTTGTGGAACACAATTCCTCTTTGAGTTCATTAAAAGTTCCCAAAGCTTCTTTACTTATAAAGAAAGATTTAGTATTGATCAATGGACGGATTTTATTAGAAAACAAAGGAATCCATTTGGAATAATATGAAAGCATACTCAAGGTCAATCTCAGTGAGACAATATTTGATGGGGGTGGCAACATCTGGAGTGGGCGCAAACAGTCAAGATATCTGGTGAATAGAATTATGGTTTACATCATATCTGAGTATTTTTATAGATTTGGAAGATAATACAGATTTCAATTCATTTAATGTTAATTTTTATGTTGCTTGTTGGTATCTCTGACAATTCTGATAATGGTGTTTTGATCATAAGCACCAATGGTGATGTTGTCTACAAAAGGATATGTATCTATAAGGTTCTATATTTTTTTTTTTTTTTCAACAAATTCATCCATTGTTCTTTGAAACATAGAGACCCCATTGGTTACCCCAAATGGCAACCTACAAAACTAGTATAGCTTCCCATTGTCCTCAAATGCAGTAGCCCTTTTATCCACCTCTATTATTTGGATCTGATAGTAGGCGCTCTTTAGGTCAAAAGTCAAAAATACTTTGTATCTTCCCAGACTTTTTATCATATCACCAATCTGAGGCTTAGGGTAGGCATCCAACTGTGTATATAGATTAACCGTTTGGGAATAATCTACACAGAACTGTTTATTGTGCTTATTGGTAAGGTCCTTTGCAACAACCAATTGGGCTCTCCATGGGGAGTAGCAGGGTTATCTGAGAGAAACTGAGAAATTTTCTTCTCAATGAATGCCTAATCATCTCGACTAAAATGCCAGGATTTGGTAGAAACAGAGCAAACATTTACAGGTATACTGGAAAATAATGAGGGTATATTTACCTTGGCTACTGTAAGAACAGTGTGCATTTCTTTGACTCTCTTAAGTTGTCTTTGTTTTCACCATAATTGAAGATTACGTTTTTGTGTAGCTCCTGAAACTAGTATGCAGGGAATTACTACTGCACATAGGGTATCCAAAACCTTGAATTTTACTCTTCTATATTTCCTGCTGACTACTATGCTGGTAATGCAAACACCGGCATAGAGGTATCAAAAGCCTAACCAAATGTTTGAATTGTTTTTTGAAAGGCTTCTTATATCTGGCTGAATATTTCTTTATCATTGATATTTAGTTAAACATGCACACAACACATATAAAAAATCAAAGCTTTGGCTAAACATATAATTTCTGATACAGTCAAATTTGGCTTCTTATGCAGCGAAAGTGTTTTAGATATAACAACATTATGAATTTATATGCCAGTGCCGTGTTAGCAACTAGACATATGATACCTATAATCCACAACAACTATTAATATGTATTGAATTATAAAAGTGTATGCAAAAACTATTAAAAAATTGTCATGAAATATGAATGTTGATATAGTCATATAGTATTTTTTATATGAAGAAAAAAATCAGCTGAAAAGCAGTTGTCAAAAGCCTTAAAGCAGAAATGAAGAACACATCCTCAACTTTAAAAAGAAAAGAAATTACACTATCGGTGTCTCTCCACATCAATCACCTCACCAAAATCCATTAGAATATATATAAGAGAAAAGTTATGTTCTTTTGCATGCAACAATTTACATATAAGCACAAAGGAAGAGTTCATTTCATAACAATCATCACTGTTTATCTCTGTTGGAACAGAAAAATTCCATGTCATTTTAATGGTAATAAATAAAGCCCAAGTCTTTTAAAGGCTTGAAATTATGAGATAAAACACTTCTGGTAATTGCAAACTGTAAGAGTTAAATTCTTAACTGCATTGCATTATGAGATATCATCTTTTACACACGCTTACACATATGCATTTTTTTCTTTCAATTTACCTTTCTACTTTTCTTGCTCATTATTCTTCTTATTTTTTCTACTCTTAATCTTTTTTTTTTCTTGTTCATAATAGATTATAAAAGGACATCACTGTTTACTGTATACATGTATAAATCAGCATAAGAAAACTTTAATAAAAATGTCCTTCATATAATTATCAACATTTAGAAAATCAAAATTATCTGATTATTTTTCCCTTCTAAACTTTCTATATCTGTTACCTCTTGTATTTTATAAATTTTTTTGTTCTGTTTGATCCAAGCTGTCAACTTTTTTCAACTTTCAGAAATCAATGGTGGAAACTTTAGCCATTATCGCTACAGATTTTCTATGCCACAGACAAAATGGCCAATGACTGTTAATAAATTATGGTACAGTTTTGATATAGGACCCATTCATTTCATCAGGTAAGACTATTTGCTGAGTTGCATTCTGGGAAATTATGTTGATTACTATGCAATGACCATGTTATATCTTGTATAATTTTTAAAAATATTTAATAATTAAAAACATTTTTTAAAATTACAAACTGATTATATAAATTTTCTTGACTTGTTCTTCCCTTTGAGAAAGTGTAAAGAAACAAAATTTGGATGAGGTGACACTCAAAGATTGCTGGATTTATCATTCATTTGAAGAAAGCATACAAGGAGGTGCTGAAAAATGATCAGCCAAAAAATATGAGTATTCTGACATTTGATTAGTGAAATACTGATTTTAAGAAGTTGGTTGAGCTAAGAACTTTTCAGCACCCTCTCATTTTAGTTGAAAGAAAATAAAGATGAGAATAATTCAGTTAACTGGGAAAAGTTACTTCCTTTTAAAACAAAATTTCTCTGTTTTAGATTTTAGTATTGGCTGTGAGTGAAATTTGTTTGGGATTTATCTTGAAGTTTAAAAGGCATCGTGTTACTCTCTTATATTCAATAAAAAAGTCTTACCTTGGAAAAGGATTTGTGTTCTCTGTACTGTCAAAAAAAAGAAATCAGAATGAATATCAGGTTGACTTTAGTAGGTCTCAAAATATGGTAATTGTTTGTTTCACTACCAGTCTCAACCAATCGCAACCTTTCCTACCCCAATAAAAGAACACTATTTTAGAGGACAGAACAGAGACTCTTAGCTCTGGGAGATCTTCTTAAGCCTTTTAGGTTTTTTTCTGATCATCTCTCAGTTGTGTCTCTGTGTGAGGACAGAGGGCAACTTGGTTGCATCTCTGTCTGTGGACAGAGTGCAATTGAAAAAATTGAAAGGTGTGCAGTCTTGGTGGAAGAGCTGCCTGTAGTAGTACCTTTCTCACTGCACTAAAGAGGTGGGTTGATATACTGATGGCTACCACAATTGAGAGTTGTGGGGGCTGGGAAATTTTTTGCTGGGTGCAGGATGCCTACATTAAACTGACCTTGTGTTGCATCCTGTCAGTGTCGGGTGGCAGGTAAATACAAAGACTCTTAAATTCTTTGTGGGTGAAGAAGGTAGTTGTGCCTTGAAAATTTTGAATAAGGATTTTAACCCTTTTGATTTTATGGCCCTAACATGAATTATTTTGAGACTGATTTATGACCTTTGGACTTATGATTTTGGGATCTGAACATCCCAATTGATATTTCCCTATATATCCAAACTTTAGACAACATTTAACAAATCAAATCTGAACTACTTGATCTAATTTGCATGAAAATGAATCCTGAATCAGTAAAGACTAGCAATATACTATATTTTCAATTTTTGTTTTAGATCAAAACATTCATTTTAGTGGTGAGTTAAATTCTGTTTCATTTTCTAACTAATTGGATTCTGAATGCATCTACTAATGTCTGTATAAATTAATATTGTGTATATGATAAATGAGTTGTTGATTACAATTGCATGTGTGTTGGCAAGACACAGTGTCTTGTGAAGTTGCTCCTGTGGATATTTTTGTTCCTCAAGTTGCTGTCGTTTCTGAGGCAGTGTTATTTTTGTTACCTCCTGTCTCTTTTCCCTCTCTGCTTATTACCTCCGTAGTTATTGGGAGAGCAATTGGTTAGGTGTTTTCTCCAACCTAACACACTCTTTCTGTATATTACAACATAAGTTAGCTTCAATTTCACTCTCTGTTGACAATGAAGTAAATACACCTTTGTTTTGTAATCCAGACCTTATCATCCATACTTCTGAATAAAAAGTACATTTTAGGATGAATAGGAATGACAAAGAAACTTCTGCTAATAATTAGACAACTGAACCTTCTGAGACATATAATAAGGAAAAAAGGCTTCAAGAATTTAACACTCATAGAACACATTGAAAGCAAGAGAAACATTGGGTAAACAGTAAGCTACTTAATGAGTTTGAGTGAATAGATAGCAGAAAAAAACAAAAGAAAGTAAAGTGATGAGGGGGGTAGTTACTAAAAGCAACAAAACTCAGGAAATTTTGGAAATCCATGATATCAAAGGATATGGCATATAAAAGATCCTTGTCAAGAAGATAGAAGCCAATTCCATAAGAAAAAATTGTTGTCCATCAATCTTAAAAATAAGAGTTTATATTGTCTTCAAATTTTTGCTCTAAGGAAAGATCTAGCAGTTTATAAAATATGTCATAATTAGATATTTATAAATACAAGCTAATGTGTTTCAGTTAGTATTAAGTTGTGCATGCTAACACAATTTGGATAAAAAAGGATATTTCAATTGATAGCAAATCAGACTTAAGGAACATGCTTCTACATAGTAACAGAATTTCAAATGCTCAATTATTTTGAATACTTGGATGTTTTTTATGGCTGATGGTGTACTAAAATTGTTTATCTATCAGGTTAGTATGGTAAACATTTGAAATTTTCTTTTATCTAAGGTCACATCTTTTTTACATTTATAAAGTATATTCAAATATATGAATATATATACTTTTTATTAATTGGGCATAGTCAGCATGGAAAATCAATGTGTAATCATACACCAATGTAGACATTTGAACAGCTGTTCTTGTGTCATATTTTGCTATTAGAAAGACAGCTATCACAATGTCTTCATTTTGTTTTTAATGCAAAATTCTGTATCTCAAGATTTTTGTATAAAGAAAAAATGCTCTTATATTAACTGTAATGATAGTGTAATTCAGATATGGAAAGAGTGGAGACTATAGTCTCCCCTTAGACAAGAACCTTTATTTTACTTGTGTGGTTACTTACTTCAGTATCAACCACTTTGCTATATGACTTCACAGCATGAACTCTGGACCAGCTTTTCATAAATACTATTGATTGATAATCTACAACTGTTAAAATAAATATCAATTGGAAATAAAGTTCTCTTAGGTTCTTCATACCAAGGGAAGGGGTAATAAGTAGTAGATTCTTGGAATTTTTCTCAATAAGCTAGGGGGATTGGAAAATGCTCTAAATGCTCAAAAAGTGCAAAATTAATAAATGGGGAAGAAGGGTTTTATGTTTGGTGAGGAGCAACCTGATAAATTTACCCACCTTTTGATTAGGCACTTGTACTCACATCCCATCTGTTGTGAGCATTTTTAACCTTGCTCTCACCTTAACCAGTTTGGTCACACATTTTCTCGTGCAATTATACACACAAAATTTTTAAAACTATTTAGTAGTGGTACTTTAACCTGAATTTCTAAATGAATTGGTTGTTTCAGACATAAAAACAAATAAGATACTAACACTGGAAAATATTCTTCTACTTGATTCTCTCTCCTTAAGTGCCATTTCATTTCTGTATGGATGCAATCATTGTTCTTCACAGCTTACTTTTTCCTTTAATATCTATATACTATTATTGTACTTGGAAAATATGTTTTCCTGTCCCCTTCTCCTAGATTGGTTGCCAACAAAAGCTCTGCTGTTGGATCTATAGGTGAGAGAATAGATGGATTTGTTCCAAGGGTGTTAATACAAAATGAACTTGAAACTACCTCTTCACTGATTCATGAAAGCTTACCACCAAATTTGTAGTGAATAGAAGTTAGCAATAAATTCCTTTATTGAGTTTATATAGAGTCCATTGGTTCTTTCAAGGACAAGAAAAACAAACTTTCCTTTGCAGCTTCGGACACACAAGAAAAAGATTATCACGGCTTGTATAAATCATTTTCAATCAGTGGGTACAGATCACTAAAATGATCGACAGGTAGACTGTGAGCTAACACTATCATCTAGTTCGTGATTGTAACTAGCAGCCTAAGCTGGAAGAGAAGTGGAAAACGAGAAGAACAAGAAAGGTCCTGAAGTTGTCTGGAATCACAGTAGAGAGCTGGCTGTGTAGGGGTTACAACTGTGGATGCAAATTATTTTATAACATGTCATTGTTAGTAACAAATATTTCTTTTGCTGTATGATAAATGCATGAAAATGTATTCACTAATCAAATCAGTTTTATTTTATACAAATAACATTTAAATTTGGTTACATTTTTAAAGCATGTCATATTAGGAGTAATACTCTTACATTAACTCCTTTCAATATACTAAACTCTCTCAGTGATTGACTAATATGTAACCTTTTTATCTTGTGGGTTCTACTTATAAATAGAATCAAAAGGGAATATTTTGACTATATTAAACCATTTTCAAGTAAAATGGATTTGTGCAACAATATTTACTCAAATTATCAAAAGTGGTAGATTAATTTTGTTGGAGTAAGTAAAGCATGATAGATTAAGACTATCAGTTGTAGAATAAGTTTCAATATATACATGAGACTAAATGGAAAAGAAAGATGGTTATACTAATCTTTAAAGTAGGGAAAACCTGTCAGACACTACACTTTTTTTTCCTCTCCAGCTAGACACGAACCAGTAGGGCAACTCTTGTTTCACATTTTATGTTGTCTCTGGCTTCAGTTCTTCAAAACCCAATGCTACACCCCTGACTGTATCTATGATGGACAATTTTATTTTTACTTAATTTATTTTATGAAGTACAGTAGTCATAGCATTGTTTCTAGAAGTAATGAAGAAGATAGAAAGGGTGTATGCCAACCGGTTGATCAAAATCTCATTGCCATATATTGGCTCTCTTCAATAATGAATCTAGGTGTGGTGTGGCAACTTGACCCTTTTAATTGTCACAGTTATCTGAGTGTCTTTGTTGTTTTTTTTGGTCTTATCTCAAAACATAAATGCAGTTGATTATTGTCAGAATTCCACACCACCACTCAGGTTGGGGCATCAGGGGGTTCTGACTTGTTGTTTTCTATTCTGGGCCACTCTACACATTTTGTAACATTTTGTACCTCAGCCACAAGACAGTCTAGTGAATGAATATTATATTGACATATTGATTTTAATACTGGCTCAATCAAAAAGTTTTTGTTTGTTGTTAGATAGCATTAAGGATGTTTAGTTTTAACTCTATTAAAAATATCACTTCATTGTTGTGACAGCTGTCGGTATACATTTCGGTT